CCGCTGATCGAGGTAAATTTCATACCCTCGACTCGTTTTTCCACGCTGATTTCCCTAGTGGCCAAATCGGAGCCAAAATCCCGGCCAAACGGCCGAAAAACTCGGCCGAAAGCCAGCGGCGCCGCCGCGCCCCTCCTCGGTTTTTGCCTCCGATGAGGCCCTTCCCGGCCTCCGTTTGATGCAATTTTTATATCACCGTGATCGCCATTCTTTTCTCTACAGGTTGACCGGAGCCGAATCACCAAAAGACGAACCTCGCCGGAGAGCCGCCGCACCCGAGAGCACCGCCGCCGGTAAGCTTCGGTTTTCCGTAATTTTTTGGCCCCCCGAGGGCCGTGGGTTTGTTTATTCATATAAACCAATGCGAGTGTGGCCGAATTCAGCCGAAAACGGCCAACCCGAGGCGAACCGCCGCCGCAAGCGGCGGCGCTGTCACTGGAGCACGGCGGAGTCGCCGTACCGGAGTTGCGATATTGGCCGAAAGGGGCCCTAGACCTAACTTGGAATTTTTTTGGAACACGTGCAGGTACCAGTAGTGCGTTTCAGTTCCCCGGAAAAAATTCAGGGAAAATTTGGAACAGCTTGTAGGCGCACTGTGAAGCCGTGTTCGGACCCCTAAACGAGTAAGGACCCCTCACCTTATTTCCTATCACAGTATTAAAGTTCAATAATGATAAAACGGTAATTCTTGAATCAACGAATGTGTGAAATTGCTTAAGGTCGCTAATGGAGCCCGAGTCTTGTGTGTTTGCTGGTTAACTGTTATTTTGCATATTTTACAGTTTTAAATGCAATATGAGGCCCAATGTTTTCATTTCTTTGTTTGTGTGCATATTTTACTGTTTTATTGATTATGAGCTGGATGACTGAGATACCGATGCTGTATGTTGTCTGTTTGGCATAAACTGCTGTTTGCTTGTTTAAATGTGAATTGATGATGCTGATTGAGGAAAAGGAAAATGAAAGATTGTGTAGATTGATAATGGTATGATGTGCTCAGCCTGACTAGATATCCTGAGAGATGGTGGACGGACCGGGTCCGTAGGGGACCCTACCAGGATTGTGGTCTCTCATACCGGACGGGGTATGGAGATCTTATGTGTTTTGGCGCCCATATCGGACGGGATATGGGGACGGCCCGTTTCACCCTCATACCGGACGGGGTATTGAGGTTTACAGTTTTGGCGCCCATATCGGACGGGGTATGGGGACGGCCCGTTTCACCATCATACCGGACGGGGTATTGAGGTTTACAGTTTTGGCGCCCATACCGGACGGGGTATGGGGACGGCCCTGGAATCTAATTACAAGTATTAAGGGTAACGGGTAGCGGGACCCCTATGGATCCCCATGGATACTAGTAGGCTGGTGAATGAGGAAAAGTAATTGTGAAATGATTGAATTGCAAAGGCGTGATAAGTATTATGTTACACAGTTTATATGATTTCATTATGATGATAATGTTATTGCTTTCGTATATTGTTTTATGAATTTCACCGGGGTAAGTGAATGGTAAAAGGTTTTATTATTGATAAATGAGTTATTGTAAATTACGCTCCATTGGTCTTTTTATGTTTTCTACCCACCTTTACCTCCGTGACGGTGAGATATCGTGATGTCCTTACTGGGCTAGTGTAGCTCATTCCTTATTTAATCATTTCAGATCAGGAAGACATTGTTCCCGAGCCCGTTCCGCAAGAAGACGACGAAGGGGACACCTAAAGACTCCAAAGTTATATTTATAGCTTTACTTTCGAATTTCTCTTTTAGTTAGTTTGATCCTTTATATTTTGAGCACGTTTTTGGTTTTAGTGTAAGGGATGTTAATCGAATTTTGGCTTCACTTCCGCATTGACATTTTTTTTTAATACACATATTTCATTTTAAATTTCAGGGGCCGTTACAGTGTGTGTGTGTGTATATATATATATATATACAATTATTTGCAATTAAAGCTTTATGTTTGTGTTAAATGTGATAATACAATTTTTACTGCACAATTACGGCTCTTTTTTACAGCATGAAAATAGACTTTTTTAAATTTCAATTACTATGTCTTTATAGTAAATAATAGTCAATAAATGTATGATATTTTAAGACTGTAATAAAATTTTATTTATTTTAACTTCTAACATAATGAGATTGTAGTAAATAATAGTCGACTGACAAATTTAAAATAAATTTTAAAAATTATCGAATTAATAGTACATGACGAACATATAATTTTTTTTCTCATTATATTTTTATAAAATATGTTTAATTGTTCGTTGACAAATACATTATTTCTCTTATTTTTTTGTTCATTCATTTGGCACGAATAAGATTATCTTTTCTTCATTTCTATTATCCAAAATAAATAATTTTATATTTAGTATAATAATATATACTTACAATGATTTATTTTTATTAAAATTAAATAAATATATTAATATAAATAATAATTATTTATTTAAATATGAATTTAATTATATTTTTATATAATTTATTATTATTATTATATAAAATAAAATATAAATTAATTAAAAATATAATCATACTATACTGTTATTTAAATAAAATAACTATTATTAATATACATTAATATATAATCATTCTAACAGATAAAAAAAAAATTATCTTTCAAATTTTATGCCGTTTTAATTAGTGCCGTAATTAAACCAAATAATTACGGTAAATATTTAAAATTTAATTAATTACCGGGGCCATATATTGCTTAATACTTTTAACCATCTCAATCAAATCACTACCGATGGTATCTTATTATATATCTAATAAATTAATTATCATAGAAAATGACTTTGATGAAATTCCCAATCAAACGAAATTTTTTAAAAAATTTGAAAAATCAAAATTAATATATTTTTTTATAAAAACTTAATTATTATAATTTCACAGGGTAGATAATTTATAAAGGCGGCTCCTCACAAATCCAGTCAATCTTCTCCTCTTTCTATCTGTCTTCTTCCTCCTCACTTTCCTCTTCCCCTCTCTGTATATATACAAAATCTCTAACATTCGTTAATTTCCACCGTTAACAACCTTTTATGGAGACGGATGTGGTGGTGCCTGTTCCCGCTTCAGCGGTCGACTTCAACTTCGACAGCACATGTTCATCGCCGTACATGACTGCTCCTTCCAGTCCCCAGAGATTCGGCAACTTCTTCTGCAGCGCACCCGGTAGCCCGACTCATTTTTCCGCCATTTACCGGGAGTTTCAGGACGTCCCGGCCCCTTCCAGGAAGGAGGAGAGGCCCCGTACCTCCAAGATCAGAGATGTGAACGGGAAGGAAAAGGGAGTTTCCGAGGAGGAAGATGAAGATTTCGAGTTTAATTTCAGTGGGCAGCTTGAGAGAACTTCCTTATCTGCTGATGAACTCTTCGATGGCGGGAGGATTCGGCCTCTGAAGCCACCGACTGGCTATGATACACCTAATTCGAATCTTTCATCTCCGAGATCGCCTCGATCACCTTCCAGAAATTCAAAGAGAAAAATTAGCTTCGACCCAGTTGCTGCCGCCGCTGGAGAGACTCGAAATAGAGGAGATCATGGTCAAATCAATCAACAACAGCAGAAACGTGGGAGAGAGAGAGTTTCATCATCATCTTCCTCTTCCAGCTATGTTCATAAAGGAAGCAGATCTCTGTCCCCGTTAAGAGTTTCAGACATAATGTTAGAGCAAGAACAAGACCAGAGCTCACAGTCAACGACGACGACGGCCAAAATCGTTTCTTCAACGACAAGCAACCAGAAGCCGGCGCCGCCGTCTTCGTCGTGGTACGCCGCTTCATTCTTGTCGGCGATTTCATTTTCGTCGAAGGGTCACCGGAAATGGCGGTTGAAGGACCTGTTGTTGTTCAGAAGTGCTTCTGAAGGGAGAGCGACGAGCAAAGACCCACTTAAGAAGTACTCGGTGCTGTCGAGAGGAGAACCGGAGGATGTTAGGAACTCGAGCTTCCGGTCCACGGAGAGCACCGGTTCGTCAGTTTCCGGTTCGAGGAGGAGAGGACATGTGTCGGCTCACGAAATGCATTACACGGTGAACCGGGCCGTCTCGGAAGAACTGAAGAGGAAGACGTATTTGCCGTACAAGCAGGGATTGTTGGGTTGCTTGGGTTTCAATCCCGGTGGCAGTGGTATGCATGAGATTTCCAGAGGAATTGGGTCAATGACACGTGGACGGTCATGATTTACTCACACACATATATATACATATAGTACAAATTTAATTTTTCCTTGTTTTACTGGGTTCTGCTTTCTCTTTCTCTTTCTCTCTCTTTTCCTGGTGATTATTGTCTTTTAATGGTGGTGTTTATCCATGAAAAGGACCCAAATTTATTTGTATGAAATTTACATGACATAATACACAGTACAAAAATTGAAGATTGAAAAGAGAATATTAAATATTCTTTTTTGTCTGATTGATTGTTAGATACACGTACATATCAATGCTTAATTATTTAACGTTAATATACATTTCTGTACACACACACACACACACACACACACACATATATACATACATGTATCAGTAGTGAACAGGAAGAAACGAAAAGACAGATGTGAGAACAGCAAAAATGGTGGAGAGAATGTTAGGAAAACATGGGATAAACCCTAAAAAAAAAAAAGGGTTTGGAAGAAAAAAGTGGATTAAACACATGGATTGTGGAAAAGTAGGGTTTCTAATTTCAATATCATAATCATTAGGTGGTGGAATAATTATGGTGATGATGTTTTCTTCCTACAGTCTAAAGTTCATGTTATTTGGCTCTAATTATCATTAAAAAAAAAAAACAATTAATTGAGTTTATAATTAATTTTTAAGATTAATATTATTGTAAAGCAAGATTAATTGCTTCATTAATTATATAGTAGAATGCAATTATGAAGTGCAAGACAACAGGTTCAGTTTATTCAAAATTTGTGTTGGCTAATGCATGTGCAAAGCCTTAAAGGTTCAAGAATTTTGTGTTACTTTGTACTTTAAAGTTTGAAACAGGTAATATATAATATCATATATACACACACATATACATACAAGATAAAGTTGAAGTGTGTGTGTGTGTGTGTGTATACATATATAGATATAACTTAGTTTACTTCAAGATGGTACTGTAAAGTGTTTGAATGTAGTTGTATAATATTCATATGTTTTACCAATTTAATTAACAAAATATATATATATGCCACGACATGTATAAATCTAGAGCAGGTGTAAGCCTGCGATACCCACTCAGCCACCTTTTCTTTTACTCCTCATATAATATTACATATGTATGTATACATATGTATATATATATATATATATATTATCAACTAGGGTTGATTTGTTCAACTTTGTACTCCTCAGCCAGCGTGCATTTAGCCATTAATTATTATTATTTATCATTATCCATATGATATACGTACGTATGTAACCAGTTATAAAATACACGCACATAGACATATATATATATATACATATATGTATAAAACTAATAATCAACGAATTTTTACTTTATATTTCTTGTTACAATCTCATCTAATTAATTAATTTAAAGTATAACAAATTCAAAACGAAAAAGAAGGGAGAAGTTCTGATGGTTCGTATGTATATACATATATATATATATATATATGTAGACAGTGTAAATATATATATATGTATATTAACCTTTACAAAAACATGCACTTGTTATTTTTGGTGTGGAGAGGAAAATGAAAAGAAAAGCCATGCATGCAAGCCTGCTCGCTTTATAGAAAAAAAGACTTGCTGTGTCGATTGTGGGTTTTGGAGGGAGACCCACATGAAATTCTACAATCATTTCCCCCCTCCTTTAGATACCAAAACACACACACACACATATATATATATATATGTGTGTGTGTGTGTGTGTGTATATATATATCAGTAACAGATACATGCATCTACATACATCTATCATAATAACAATACATAAATATATAATAATTAATGGATAAATTTATTACCTATGCAGCTAACATTGACATATATATATGTGTGTACGCATATATTATATGTATGTTATTGGTATTATATATATATATATATATATGTATGTATGTGTGTGCGTGTGTCCCATTCACGAATAGTAGTGATGATGATATAGTGGGGAAATTATATTTTTAACCCGTAATTTAGTTTTATTTCCCTATTAACTTTTTGAGTTTTAATTAAATTAAATTAAATTAATATAAAATAGTTTTAAAGAAATTAAAAAAGCCAAAAAAAAAAATTATTTTTTAAAAAATATATTTGTGCCGATTGACATTTAATAGAGGGATTTATTACGATGCGTGCCGGTGCACTGTAGCATTGACAGTTGTTTGACTCCTCTCGCGTTTTGGTGTCAGACTAAAGTCAACGGCCTGACGTGTGATCTAAATAAAAGGGCCTGTAATAATCCGCCACGTGGTCGACAGGGAAACCATAAAATAATTACGACGTCTCTGTCGTCTCTCCTCTGTCACCGCCGAAACCTTTGACTTTTACAAAAGTGACTGACCAAGTCAAAATCACGGAAACACTATATTTAAATTTTAAGTGTTAATTTATAGATTTAGATTTAATTAACTAATTTATTTATAAATTAAATCATGTGTAAAATAAATAAAATTAAAATTTATTTCTAAAGATGTAAAAAAATAAAATTAAAGACTAAAATAATGAACAAAATTAAATTTATTTGGTGATTTTTGTAAATTTAAAAATTAATTTAGAGACTAAAATATAAAAAAAATTCAAAATCTAGTCCAGTTTATAATTTTTTAAAAATGGGCCAGCTGGACTGGTGACTTGGCAGCCGCCCAATTAAAGAGAGCCACATGGCGTTGACCCACGCATGTGGTCATCCACGCGGACACCCTGGTAAGCAGATCGGACGGTTCTGAGCGTTTTGGGCAAATCCAATGGTGAAATCGCAGTATTTAGATCCAACGGTGTACAGACATGCAAAAGAAATGATGACGATCCAACGGTTTGCGTGTGCAATACCGATCGGACCGTCTGTATGTTTTTAAATTTTTATTTGCTTAAATGAATTAATTGAATGCATGTATGATATTTATATAGTGTGTATATGTATAAATTGTATGAAAGAAAAAGTTTGAAGAAAAAAATATGAAAAATGGGTTATTTAAATTAAGGAATTAAATAGATGAAAAAAAAAGATGATAAAATAAATTAGAGACAAAGAAAAAAAGAAATTAGCTTCAAGTTGTTAGATGGGAAAATAGATTATTAAGTTATAAATAAAAGAAATTAGAGTTAGGATAATATTTAAAAATAATAATAATAATAATAAATAAATAAATAAATAAAAATAAAAATACTAATTATACATAATAAAAATTGAAAAAATATATATCTCTACAATAAAAATAAAAATAATTAATTAATAATTAATAATAAATTAAATAATAATAATAATAATATAAGTAATATTAATAAAATGAAATAACAATAATAATAATAGTAAATATTAGTAAATATACATAATATATTAATAAATCATAAAAAATTACATAAAATAAATAAATATTAACAAATATATATATATATATATAGATAAAAACACAAATAATTAAATAAAAATTTTTTATAAAAAAAATTAGAGAGAATTGGTTAAAAAAGGGAAATGAAAAGTAATAAGTGAAACTTCAATTAAAAAAATAAATAAATAAAATATCAATTTTAACTAGATTAAAAAGAAAAGAAAATAATATGAATATTTAGAAAAAACCAAAATTTAGAGATAATACTTTTAAGATTAGTATGACTGAAATTCAACGGTATAGTGAACTCTATCCTTGAGTGAATGGAAACCCTTTCAGACGTAATTGGGGGTGTGTATTATGTTCTGGGTCACCTAGCGACGGATTGTTGTGACCAATGTGTGTTTTGGCTGTGTGAGTGCATCTTCTTGTGATAGAGAGAATTCTAATTTCATAATGGTACAAATTAAATAACGGATACATCCATCCAATATTAAATCAAAACTTTAAAACTTTAAAACTTTAATAACTTCAATTTTGTGATTATGTTGGGGTAAATCAGGAATCGAGGATATCCGTTGAGGGAGTACGGATGTCTCGATTTGACCGGAAACTTGTAAAAAATTCTGGTAGTGATTATGAGAGATAAATAGTAGCTTAAAAAAAACAGTGGAATAAAATGGATTTAAAAGAATTTAGAGTAAAAATGAGTTTAAGAGAATTTAGAGGGATAATACTTAAACTTAGGAAAAAAAATTTGAGAGATAGAATGAAATTAGTGGAACAGTGAGAGATAAGATATGAAATGAAATATCTCTGCATTTCATGGTTTTCAAACATAAACAGAAAGAAAAATTTTGCATATTTGATTGTATATTGCATACGTAAGGTATAACCTATTTTTTATATTTATTGAGCGGACCCCATTTAATTATCATCATTCTATATCAAAAAGATCCGATTATAGATTAAGAGGATCTCACTCCTTAACCAGATAAAAAAAAAAATTGTATGAACACCCGTGACGAAAATTAAATTTTATAATCGAACAAATATTTATTTTATTTTGACTCTATCATACGAATTTCATATATTATAAATAATGTTTCAATGTGATAAAAGAATATATGATGAATATTTTAAAATTATAAATATTATGTTAATTATATTTCTACTGTATGATTAGTGTTTAACGACTGAAATTTCTTCATGGAAAGAGCAAGGTTCGCTCAGTGCCCGTATATGATTTATATACTAAATTTACAATTTCTCTTTGTAAATATGTGTAATATTAATATAGATAATTATTGAGAATATATTTCAAAAATCTCAACCTCAAAAGAACTGAACTGTTAAATTGTGAAAAGTCTCAAATTAGACATGAGATTTTTCCCAGCAGATGAAAAAACCAAGCCGACCCGTTTGCCATTATCAACCTAACTATTCTTGTTCTGCAAGATCAATGCTTAGAAAAGAGGGGGGTGGCCAGAATTACTTACAACACCAACAGGGGAGGCTATGGAGTATGGTCTTTACACAGTAGACTACGTGTTGAAAATCTGATTAAAACACAGAACATGCTGGAGCATAGCCCTTGCGTTCAGAGAGGGAGTTATCTTTTAATTCTTCAATCAAATAGGCCGATTGTACAGGCCAAGTAAAGGTTTCTCTCTCTCTTCCACTCTCTTTCTTGCAGCCTCCCTTGCTTTAAGGGCAGCTGCTTCCTCTCCGGATACTTTCTTTGGCTTTTCGTCATGTCTTTTTCTCTTCCCAACTTGAAGTGAAGAAGGAGCACCTTTCACAGACCTATTGGGGTTCAAAGAAGCTGAAACTACCCGTCCTGGTGCTGCCCCGTTTTGATTTTCAGCAACATCTCTTTTCTCCTTGCCTGGAGCTGATAACTGCTTTTTCATTATCGGTTCTTTAACTTTCCTGTCTGATGGAACATTACTTGCAGCATATGCCTCTTCTTGGGTCACCCACTTGCCTGTTGCATTCTGTCTAAGTAAATATCGTAAACAGATAATCTAAGAAGACTTCTGTATGTAAAAACAGCAAAAAGAAACATCAATTCTAACACTTCCATTATACAGATCCATACCTATTGCGTCAGAATAGTAAAATCCAGAGTTTGAATCATAGTACAGACCATTGGTTTGGTTGTAATAATAGCCTGAAGTGCTATCGTATTCCCATTCTGTAATAAGTTAGCTGTATCAGTTGGAACAGTTTCAGAATCAAGACAACAAAACAAATTTAACAACGCTATTTAAAATCTATTTATTAAAATAATCAACAATCGTAAAGAAGGTTGACCTCAGAAAGGTATATCCACTAGACTTGCTCCTGAGCACCAACTATTAAGCAAGGACAAACACAAAAATTAAGGACTTTGTAGGCTTTCAATGTTGATAGTAGATAAAATCTCAAGCCTTCAGGAGGTCTTACCATTACCACGAAACTGCAGTGTAAGTTAAGGCAAGTTGTATGTTATTAGGCTGTTCAGCTCAGCAGGGTTAAGACTTAAATTGGTCCCTACTCTATATTCTTGTCCGGAATCAACTTTAGTTTGGGAAACAATTTATCTTTTCTCTTTTTAAGATCCTATAATCCAAAGGTCAAGAGCTTGTAAATGCAAATTAGGAATAATGATAGCTGAGAATGCTATTAAAAGGTTTCTACTCTGATTATCTATTCAATAACTTCACTTATATTAGATGCCTGCATGAGACCAGCTCGTATACCCCCTAACATAAACAAATTGATCCCTAGTTATTTAAGATTTGTATTGTTGGAAAAAGCATTGTACCAGGACCTTTTAATTGATGGGAAGCGCTGAAGTAAGATGTGAGCAGCTCCTATCTTGTATTGCAAAAGCTAGTATAACAAATTATAGATATAATTTTAAGTAACTCCAGCATTTTTGAAATACTTACCCCCTTGACCATCCTCTGTGGCTTTTAAGGCTTCAATCTTAGATTTTCCAGCTTCTTGAAATGTAGCTATATCTTTCTGATAACTACGCTTTGCTTTCTGGCAAACATTTTTGACAAATAATACAATCAGGATCCTAAAACTGGCATTTGTAATAACAATTTCAAAGTTTCATGACCTGCTCAGGGTAACATTAATGGTAAATTGTGATTTAATGAACCTAGGTTCATGTCACTTTTCATTGGCCATATTGTACAACACTTTCTTTTCCGCACAGAATAATGTACATACAAAGAATAGTCTGACTTGCTGACATGAAAAAGAAAAAAAAAAAAGAAGCAAGTTAAGGTTACATGCAGAACATACTTGACTAAATTACTGTTTCTACAGACCACGTATGTAATCATGACATGGGATTACACTAAATTCTAGTATGCTCAGTTAACCTGAATCCAAAGTTGGTCTAATTCATTTCACAAAAAGATTCAGCACTTTAAAGCCATTACCATATATTCCTAGTCTCTCCCATGCACATGAATTATAGAAAACACATTCCAAAATCAGATGCAACAAAAGCCCTCTTTGCATAAGGTAACTTCCTACAGTTTCAAACTTAAAACAAAATTCAACCGAGTTTCCAGCATAATCACAATGATGTTTTCCCAGAAGACTTACATCTTCAATCTGTTGAAGGGCCCGAGCTGCCTCCTTCTGTTCCTTCTCCTTGGCAACATTCTGAGCTCTCATATCAGCAAGCTTTTTGTTGACACTTTCCCTGTGGCGCTGGCCAAGCTCATGGTTTCTGATGCTAGAAGGATTGTTCTGTATGAAGATTTTGCAGAAGTCGCACCATTTGTTTCCCTGACTTACCCAATACTGGAAAAAGAACACCAACAAAAAAACCATGAAGTTGATCAGTTGACGTTTAATTAACCATTTAAGGTAGAACAAACAAAGCAAGACCGAGTACAATTTCAACCAAAATCAGTTCTTTAAAGTACCGAATTGGAATCCTAAATTGTGTAGCATGACGATGCAAATAGAACAAACCAAAATTACTAATACTGTGCTTCTTCTTCCACAGGGAAAAATGATTAGCTAGCAAGAAAATCCCCATAAAAAAATTCTAAATGATCAATAAAAAGCCAACTGGAAAAGACAGTACCTCCGTCATGGCTGCAAAATCGGCTTGGTGAAGACCGTACAATAATCCGAAGTTTAGGGCACCAAGAATCGCTGATTATTGATAAAAATTAACTCTGAAACTGATTCAATTACCAGCTGCTAATGAATTCCTCAAAGTTTGAATTCTCAATTGATGCAACGAGACGTCAAGAGAAATAGCAGTGACACGATAAACCCTAATCTCTGTTAGGGGGAAAATGAAAACAGGATCGTAGATGTCCAATAAGGGCCGGGTTGGAGTTTTCGGTTCAAACCGAATGCTATTTTATAATTCTTTAAATAAAAAAAATGGATTAAATTTATAATTAATAATAAAGTAATGAAATAATTATTTATTCGATAAAATATCAAATTAACCTCTAAAATTTAATAACTATTTATAATTTAATAAATAATTTTTACGTTACGACTTAATTTAAATTTTTAATGAAAAAATTAAAATGATTAAATTATAAATAAATATTTTAAAAATAAATCATTATTTAATTTTAATTAATTATTGGTAAACTAAAATAATATTAAATATATTTTTATTATCATTAATTTAATTAATAAATTAATTAAATTACTTATTTATTAAACTATTTATTTGATTTAATTCAAATTTACCTAAGTATTTATCAGCACATTAATTTATAAAAATAAATGATAACTAAATTAAAATTCCTATAAATTAATTAATAAATTAAGAAATTAATTAAATATTTGATAGAATTAATATTACGTCATATAGTTAGATAAAAAGAAAAAAAGAAAACAACTAATAATCATTAAATGGACCGGACCTCCGGTTTGGCGGTTTTCCGGGCACCCACCCAGCTCCGACAGGGGAAATGCTTTTCTGACTGTAACAGCCCAAAATCTTCGTCTTCATCTTCCTCACGAGGAACCTTGAAAAGACCAGAAAGAAAACAAACTGTTGTGTGGATTTATGAAGCACTTTTCAGTAAGCTATTTATGCAGTATGGTTGCTTAATTTAGGTATAGAGGAAGGTGATAGAGGAAGAGATGGATCGGACTTTCTTGTTGATGCTATCAAATCTCCTCCACCTCCATAACTCACTCGACCCTACAAGCTCTTTTCTCTCCCCTTCTTCCACTTCTCCTTCTTCATCTTCTTCTTCCTCCTCCTTTCCTTCTTCTTCACCTTCTTCGATCCTCTCCTCCTCCGCCGCAGCTCCTATTTTGTTCTTCACCCTCGCTTCTGTCCTCTCCTTTTTGGCTTCCTCCAAAGCATCGACTTCTTCTTCTCCTTCGTTACGCTCCAATTCCTCCAATTCCCCTTCTCCTTCCCCTCCTTCATCGGACTACTCTGTCTCCGCCTTCCGAGCGCTTTCCACCGACCATATCTGGTCAATCGATGCTCCTCTCCGGGACGCTCAGTGGCGGTCCTTGTACGGCCTCTCCCACCCGGTTTTCACCACCGTCGTCGATAAGCTCAAGCCCTTCATTGCTGCTTCCAATTTGTCTCTCCCCTCAGACTATGCTGTCGCCATGGTCCTCTCCCGCCTTTCTCATGGCTTCTCTGCCAAAACCCTGGCTTCCCGCTACTCACTCGACCCTTACCTCATTTCCAAGATCACCAACATGGTCACCCGCCTCCTCGCCACGAAGCTCTACCGTGAATTCATAAAGATTCCTGTCGGCAGGCGCAGATTGATTGAAACCACGCAGGGTTTCGAGGAGCTGACGTCGCTTCCCAACGTGTGTGGCGCCATTGATGGAAGCCCGATTAAGATCCGCGGCTTGAATCTGGAGAGAACAGGGAACAAACTCTACAAATGCCGATATGGTTATGACTCGGTTTTACTCCAGGTCGTCGCCGACCACAAGAAGATCTTCTGGGATGTGTGCGTAAAGGCTCCCGGCGGGGCCGACGACGCCGCCCATTTCAGGGATAGTTTGCTGTATAACAGGCTTACATCCGGCGACATTGTATGGGATAAGATGATCAATGTGAGAGGTCACCATGTGAGGCCGTACGTAGTTGGGGACTGGTGTTATCCTCTGCTATCCTTCCTGATGACACCATTTTCGCCCAATGGGACCGGGTCCCCTGCACAGAACCTGTTCGACGGAATGCTGATGAAAGGCAGGTCTGTAGTTGTAGATGCGATTGGCTTGCTCAAAGCAAGGTGGAAGATTCTTCAGAGCTTGAACGTGGGTCTTAACCATGCGCCGCAGACAATCGTCGCTTGCTGCGTCTTGCATAATTTGTGCCAAATTGCTCGTGAGCCAGAACCGGAGCTGTGGAAGGATCCAGACGAGGGTGGGCCGCTGCCCAGAGTACTCGAGAGCGAGAAGCAGTTTTACTATTATGGTGAAAGCTTGAGACAGGCATTGGCTGATGATCTGCACCAAAGGCTTTCAGCCAGATAAAACTGGTACCTTAGAAAAAGATGGTCAATTACTGGATTTCCTTGTGAGGCTATAAGCTTTTCTGGTAACTCTTGATCTTGATCTGAGCAATAAGAATATGATTTGAGAGGCTTCTTACTCATATTCTAATTTCACCTTTTATAGTAAGAATTAAAAGTAGATTCAGCGGAAGTAAATTTCACGTGTAGTGTATTTCTTGTACTTGACTGGGAAAGAATCAAACTTGCTGACCTTATTTTGTTTTGAATTATGTTAGTGATGCAGTTTTCTGTGGATCATTTTCTCAGCATATCAGCTCACAGAGCAGTTCCTTAGAGTACTTCGCTCAGCTTATTTTTTTGGTCAGCATAAGAGCTTAGAAGCTGAGCTATAAAATATAAGCTACACAGCTTGAATGCCCTTATAAGTTTTACGTGTTTGGTAAATGTTAAAGAGCTTACAAGCTAGGTACTATAAGCTCTTACAAGTCCGATTATTGCTTTTTTCTGTAAGCTTTTCCTCAATTTAATAACTTGCTATTCTCGGTCAATGGTAGGATATTTTCTCTATAGCACAATAATGTTAGTGAAGGGAATAAAATCAGAACGAAGATTAAAATTTATCTTGAGATTGTCTTTTAGAGATCTAGTATATGTCAATTTTGATCAGCTGGTGTCAGTGTCCCTTATTCTAGAAGTGTTTTGCTTTTCCCTCTCGGTAGATAGAGGGCTGTTGGAAGAGAACTTGTGGGACTATTTCTAAGATGCTCTCATTCCTAAACAAGAAATTTATCTAGTACCCTTTATCTTGATTCTTCCCAGCAAATAGGTTTGGATGAGCTCACAATACTAACAAAGCAAAACCTCTTCGTTTGTGAGATTTATTGCAACACATTTTTGAAGACCGACTCCGAAAAATGTTATGTGGAATGCAATAGCAAAACAATGTAAATACTGAAGAACCTCAGTAATTTGCTTACAAGCTTTGCTAGAAAAGCTGAGCTTTGTGAGACTATTTTGTTGGTGAGCCAGGCAGCTTTAGAATCCTTGTATCTTGTTAATATTAAGTATAGCTGAAGTGCTCGGTAGTGAGCATGGCGAAGTGAATGGTTTATCTGGGTCTTCTTGTTTCTGTCCAGATAATCGAAATGGTCTTGAAAATTTTTGAGATGTTCATGATTTGGTTAGATGAGAGTAAGGGGTTCCAGAGTGGTATTGAAAGGAACAGAGCTTACAGGCCTTGTTAAAGTTCAATGGCCAAGAGAAATAGAACCATGGAAACTTCATGTTCCTTGTCACAAACTTTCTACTCTTTTGGAACATGGAAAGGAGGTCCTCTAAAGTTGTGTACTGGCACAGCAATGGCTGTCGAGAAAGGAAATAAGATTGTAAACTGCCTGTTCTTGCAGCAAGTGGTTTTCTGTTTTCTATGTCGAAGAAGGAAGCATGTGTGTGATTTTTGCATGATGAATGATGAATAACCATTTGTTAGAAAAATTACCTTCTATGCATTAATAACTTGGTAAAAACTTCAATCCACAGAATTTGTCAACCCATTCACACTCTTTATAAGCCTTCAATGTAAATGTGATACATAAAGTAATTTTATTTAAGTATTATGTAGAATATGAATATCCTGTGAAGGAAAAAGGAATTTCATCCATGCTCCATGAGCCATCAATATACCCAAAAAAGTTTATTGTGCTCCAGGAAAGATATTTCACCCTCTTCATCAAATCTTTATTCAAAATCAACAAAAGAAAATCCCCAGCTACATAAAATCTGAAATTAAGATCTGGTACAACTAATATTATAGAAAGGTGCAATCAGTCATAAAGATTCAATTTAATATTACTTACATGATCACATTTATGAAAATATCACCTTTTGCTTCACAATTTCTTTTTCTGCAGGTTATCTTCCCAGATAAGAGCAGAGAGGAGGAGAAGCCTATCTTATTAATCTTTAAAATCTCTTTCTAGTTGCCTCCTTGCATATTGTAAGAGGACCTCAGAACTTGATCATAACCTTGGATTCTTGCCTTACCTTCTCGAAAACATATGATGCCTCTTCATATATTCAGCCTTTTTTGGAACAATGAACCCAGTGGCTAAGACAGTTGACCCAAAAAAGGGATTAAAACCTTAAGAGAATCTCTATTATAGGGACAACAAGTATACATGCTTATATATGTGTATAATATAATGTCAAGGTGTTGAAAGTTTACCAAAATAATGGAAATATCCAGGCATGAATAGGAAGATATCTTCAGTAGACAATAAGGCTTCTTCCTAATGTGCCATCTTTCTGGCGATGATGCGCACGAGGCCTCCAGCTATCCTTCAACATCGTTAACTGCAATTTAGTTGACTGGAGTAAAAGAAAAAGGGAAACAAAAATTGTGGGTATGAATCAAAATACTCCTCAAAGAATCAGACTCAAAACTATTACATCAAATTCAGTGAAATACAAATCATGGTAAGAAGAAAAGATGCTAATATATGAATGAACAAGCATCCATGCTAGGAAACTAAAGATAGTAACTTCAAGCCACATCATTGTATTTCAAAAGAAATGCACGGAAGGCTACTGTAAGAAGATAAATACTAGATAGCCAGCAACACAATTAACCTTAACATGGAGATAGATGCAAAGACAAATCAACGACAGTTATCAGCAAAGAATGTAAAAGCACCATAGATTGGAGTTGGATCCGAAAAAGAAAGGGACGATAAACAAAGTATCAATTGGGAATTCCCACAATCAACTAAAAAGGAAATGAGTTTGGAAGATGATGAAAGTGACTTTGGCATACAAAAAATTAACTGAAAGAAATAGAATGAAGCTTCTACATGAGTTTCAGCATGCTTCTGAGCGTGTTTAATCTAACAATCTTGTGGCACTGCCACAATTACATCAAGTGAAAAAACCAAACCGAAATTAGAAAAAACAGATCATATTTCAATTCATTAAAGCTTTGAATATGGTAGAAATTAAGAATTTAACTTACAGTCCTGTGAAGCTACTGCAAGGATAATAAAGTCACCATTTTTCATAAGCAACAGGCGCCAAAAGCACTTGAAAGAATCATGGTGGTGTCATGAGAAAGTGCGGCAGAATGATAGAAAAGAAGGCTCCTTTGGCAGAGTCTCTACAGGCCCTTGAAGAATTAAAACTGAAAATTATAAACAAGATTCTTGAAACTTGACCTTCTCCCATCACCCACTTGATGGAACATAGAAGAACAAGCTCATAAAATTAGAGGAATATGGCATTATTCCACAGCATATGCAGATTTTAAGCTGTTGGGAAGGAGTCCATCTTTAGCCATTTCAGTAAGCACATTAAAAACTACATCCATGTTTCCTTCTTTATGGTTGATTTCGACAAGAATTTTTGCAAGCTCAGCATCGGTTACCCTACAGCTTCTGAGTATGTTCTCTATAAATTGACTCAACTCCTCATTCATTCCCGCCTTAAATAATGCCTTAATCAGAGCAATTACAGTCACAGTGTGAGCAGCAAATCCTGAATTCACCATTTCCTTGTACACTTCCTCAGCAAACCTGTAAGGCTTCTTACACCTAATTACGGCATCTAGAATTGCATTATACGATAAAACACCAGGCATAAAACCACTAGATTTGGCTAAGTTCACTATTTTCAAAGCCTTATCAATCAAATTCAGACGGGAATAAGATTTAACTACTAAATCGAAAACCGAGGAGCTCGAATTGCACAAATGATAGGTCTCTTTGAGGCACTGAAAGACGAAACTTCCATCGTCATCGGCTGTATTGAATGCGAGGTCCTCTGCTAGAGTCTGCGCGGTTTTGTAGAGCTTGAATCTGGTGAGGATGTGAAGAGTCACGCACTTGCAGTGGGGAATGAAGAAGGATTGGGGCTTGGCCCAATCCAAGAACTTAAGGGTTAGAGTCTGATCGAATTGGGATTTGAGGAGTAAATGAGAGGCTGCTTGTGGGGTAAAATGGGGAGAAAGAGAATTGAGGTTATAAGGATGGCGTTTGAGAAAGATTATGGCCCTGTCGACAAGGAGGGCGTCAGATGAAGACGAAGAAGAAATGGAACAAAACGAACGGGGGATTTGTGGTTTCAGGAGGGACATTTTAGGTAACTAACAAAGAATTAGGGTTTAACAGAGGTTCAGGGAGAGAACCAAGAGAGAAGAAGAAGAGGTTTAAAATATTCTGCCATGGATTTCTGAGTCACGTTTGGCCGCCATGAAATTTTCTGCAAGGATTCTGCTGTCTTCGTTTATTATTATTATTATTATTTCTTACATATTTTTAATTTAACTATTACAAAATGCTGGTAAAATCCAATAATTTTTAAATATTCAACCTCTTTTTTCTCAAAAACTCCAATAATTCTTAAATATTTTATAAAATTATATTTTATGAATTTATAGATTCTTAGAAAATGGTCTCTTCTTTCTGGGTAACCAAACACTCCTTAATTAGCATACATATCTAAGAAGCAATAAAAGTGTATATAACAGGAAAGAATTCGTGTATGACAAAAAACATTACTCAAGAAACCATTAAACAAGAACTAATTACATCTTTACATTGCTAAAAGCCTAAGAAGCCAAACGCGGCTTTAGTGGTTTTCAAATGAAACAAATCACTGAGCCTGCACATTCTACAGTTTGAATTTCTTTAAAGAATTCCCAAGAATTCGGGAGAGAATTTGCCGAAAAACCATCAAATGATTTTCATGCTGTGTTTGGTAACTGGCATGCATTTGGTTTTGCCAAAGAAGCATGGAAAAATAAGTGCTTTCTGCAGCTCACGGACATGATAATCTTCACTGTGCTTTTGCCAGGGTTCGGCTGGAAGTGCCATGTAACAGTTTGACAAATCCGAGGAAGCTTAGCTTCCCATCTGTGTGCCTAATCCAGTCATGAAGAACAACGTGAACCGGAATGGAGGGTCCGAGTCCAAGTTCCTGAAACAGCATTTGGAGGAGAAATTAATGGGTGAAACAAAAGATTATAACCAAGTCAATAAAAACTGGTTCAATCAATTATATGCTCTAAAACTCTCCGTAACTCAAAGCCGATCTTGCTGAAAACATGGATCAAGTACAAACTCGCTACGCCTAGCATCAAATTTAATTTTAACAAAATTTGCGAATCAGGGTTTGATGATTAGATCTCTTAACATCTGAACAATTGTTGTAATCAATTACCCTAAAAAGCTTAAGGTCATTGAGAAAAGCTCAATCAATTATTTACACTACAAAACTTCCGATTCCAAAACCTACTTTAAACTATAAAAATGCTGGTCCAGAAGATTTTTAAAAATAAAAAATAAAAAAAGTAAAGTGTGTATTATCATGGTACCAAAAAACCGGGGGTACCACCCAGGCACAAAAGTATTTACAACGATGTTAGTATGTCAATAACATTTTCAAAATCTACATCACTAATGTCATGACGTAATAATACTATCCCAAAAGTATAAATCTACCTATCTTTTAATTTATTTAAGCTACTCTGAACGCTATCAAAAACTCTCCAATGTCTCTCTTTCCAAATGACCTAGAAAACAGTTAATGGGATAATGTTAACGATACTTCTTTTTACAAGTAAGCCCTCCCAAGCCCAAATTTTCTCCCTAACCAAACCCGCAATCACCCAATCAATCCCAAGAAGACCGTAAATCATACACCATAAACTATAGGTTGTTGGACACCATAAACCCGCAATCACCAGAAGTTCACTGATTGAACAGAATGAATCTCAAAATTCAACATCATCCTAATATAATATCAAACTATAGTTGAAGGTTTATATGGTAAAGTATCATTTACACTATAGTAGGTAATCCTTCTACAACCAGATGCATTTTGAAAGACAACAAAACAAATGCAATTCTTCGGGGTCAAAATCATAGAGCAAACAAGGATTTCAAGGGAAGAGTGAAAAAATAGTTTTTTTTTCTGGAGCTGAAAAAATAGTTGGGAAGGGGAAACTAGAGTAGCCGTCTCTCCTTAGCTGTGATGTTGGGGGTTCCCACTCAGAATATCTGATTTGAACCATAGCTACTATTCTTAGGAAGAAAACATCACGGCAGCCCCAGCAAGATACAAGCAGAGAAGAAGGGCCTAAATTTCTCATCACTCAATTTTCTCTATTATATTACTGTGGCTAAAAGAATGGAACGGCCTACAATTATGTTAAATCACTCAATTCTATTTGGATATTCATTTAAATAGGCAAAAAAGCCAAAGAAATTATGTAGTAGGTGCCAGGAGTGAATCTTTTCCATCTGATTCCAACTTACTGAAGCAAGTTCTTCAATGACAATAGCCCTGTTTCCATCCTTGTCAAAAAGCTCGTATGCACATCGGGCATGTTGTTCCCAACGATCAAGTGCCTCAAGCTGATGGACACTTAATGCAGCTGCACAAAATTCTTCAAAATCCATTCTTCTGTATTGAAGTGCATTTAGCTGTTGTGCAATGAACAATAAGCTGTAGGTACTCATAGAAACTAGAAAACTGAAACCTCACAAAATCATAGAATAATGATGCAGTATGGAAAAGAATCAGCAGGAGAGCTTACTGAGGGAAGAAAATCAGGGATGCGGGACTCCTTCATTGCATCTGTTGCATTTCTCATAAGTGCCTGTCCAAATCAAAATTAGTGGCCAATGTTTTAGACAGCTAGCTGTGGAGAAATCAATAGATGATGATAGAGGGAGAATATTAACCATCTTAATGTTCTCCAAAGTTATGCTGGCATTTTTATTTGGCTCTAGCAAAGCAAATTGTTCTTTTAGATAGAAGAGTTCATCCACAGTCAACGTCTTGGACAAGGCCTGCATAAAATTCACAGGAATCAGACACCTAAAACCAGATTAGAAGCCAAAAAGCATCCAAAAATTTCAAGCAAAATATCTACTTTTTATGGCATGGAAAGTCCCGTAGCAGATAAGGGCACATGTCTCTTAAAAAGGAGGTCAAATTAAATATATCCCTGCTATTGGTTTAAATCAATCATCACTTCAAAAAAACAGCAGAAAATAATAAAGGAAATTTTAGTACTGTTTATGAAGTCCACATTCATGGAGATTTTGACACCAACTCTTGTCTTGTCATGCAAGGTCATCAATTCAAGAAGGATATATCTGCAACTGTATGCTTCTCTAACAAATTTACTCTTGAAGTTTCACTTAACACGGTGTCCTTTTAGCACAGACTAAATAACAATACCAGACTACAATGATTCTGAATTTTCTTAAAATGCAATAAGTCATGGCTGGCTCTATGGCAGATTAGTATTGGCGTGGCAAGGCACGGCAGGTGATAAGAAAAGAAAGAAGCTTGTCTCTCTTATTTCTCTGGCTACTTTGTGGGAAATTAATAAGGAAAGAAATAGAAGAGCCTTTGAGTATGTTTCTATTTCCTTTGACAGAGTTTGGGATATTTGGTTCTAGACCCTTCGAATATTATGCCCCTTGTTTAGTTCTTTAACTGGAAAACACTCCGTTAGTGCTATTTTTTTGTCTTCTTTTTCTTCTCAAGAAAAAGAAATAACTTTACATTATGAATATCAAGGAAAGGCCAACGGCCACTCAATATCAAATTTAATGAATTTGCTGGCTCAAAGTTTTCGGGAAAGTCACTCCCTAGAATTATAAGTAATGAGATGATGAGGCCTATTGGAAACTAAAACTATCTTTGTTGTCAAAACTTAAGAAGTTCAGGAATACAGTATTAAAATATGAAAGGAAAAAAAAAACAAAAACAACTAATTCAAGCCTAAAGATTACACGATGAAATACTTTAAAGCACATGCAAAATTTAGGCAAATAAAAAATGATTCCAAAAAACATTGACATATACAGACCCTTAATGCAGCCTTGCGTAACGAGGATGATCGCATATATGCCTTCATAAGTCTGAATATTAAAACATCAAGAGGGATTTTTACATCATTACAATTCCGAATCCAAGGATGACCTGCAGAGGAAAGATTATAATCAATGACTCAATGTGATGCTAGCAGAGACAAAAGTCATAAAAGAAATTGAAGCACTCACACAAAGCTTGAGCAGCAGTCATTCGTTTTCGGGGATCTTTATTTAATAGACGCTTTACAAAGTCCCTTGCTTCCAAAGATAAGGAAGGCCAAGGTGCCTCATTGAAACTTGGTTCAGCCTTCAAGACTGCCCGGAAAATTCCAGACTCAGTCCGGGCCCAAAATGGACGACTCCCACATAAAAGAATATATGCTATCACACCTATACTCCACACGTCAGCTTCTGTACTATAAGACCTATGTAGAACTTCAGGAGCTACATAATATGCACTCCCCACAATGTCATTTAGCCGTTCATCTGTATAACATAATCATAATAACAAATTATCAAGGATAAGTAACAGGTGAGGAGGCAGGAAAGAAAAGACAATGACAAGCAAGCAGTTAGTCAGTGTAAATCATGGACAAACCTGGTCTGACAAAATCTGACAAGCCAAAGTCTATGGCTTTCAACTGGGAGTTCTCATCGTTGGAAGAATAAAGGAAATTCTGATCCACGAAATGCCAAATTTTAGTTCATAACAAGGAAAAATAGCTAATAAAATAAATTTTCTGCTAGATCCAGTCATCCATTGGGAACCAATAAAAACTATACAGTTCCAGCAGTCAAAGACCAAGCATGACAAGAAGTTGATATACCCACTCTCTGAAGATATAATATTTTCCATTTATTTTATGGGTGGAAGAGACAAACTTAACGGTAAACATCTGACACACATTTAAATATCTGTTTACACCATAATGAGTCAATTCAATTGCATATACCAGATAACCAGACAGAATTTTGTTCTCCCCACGAATATATTAGTTACCAAGGAAGCCGTGCAGGCTGTCCTTATTTTGTATTTCTTTCTCACTTGGTGATTTTAACTTAATCTAAGATCACTTGGAGTACAAGGAATGCAACTAGAACCAATGGATCAAATGTTCTTTTTTGAAATAAACAAATCGATCAAATGTAAGACTTATTGAGGCACTGTTTGCAACAAAAACCACTTAGCCGGTGATGAAGATCAGTTTTGAGTTCTAGAAAAGGCAGTAACCCCTAAAGCAGTTAAACTTGGGCATGACCACAAAATAAACCAACCATAGATCAGGGTCAGCAGGGAAAGTATACCCAACACAGCTTTTCAACAATCCCCAGAAAGTACCCTTAACTTTACCAGACTAACTCCCAGCCAAAGTATTATAAAATGGTAATTCTGCATCAATCAATTGCTGTTATAAATGTTATCCCAGCTTGCATCTAATGCTCTGAAAAACAAAGAAGACAAGATATCTGTGTGTGTGTGTGTGCACATATATATATATATATATGGTAATATATTGACCTCTGGTTTAAGGTCTCGGTGCACCACGCCCTGGAGATGACAAAAAGCAACAACATTTAGTATTTGCACAATAACTGCCTTTGCGTCATCCTCGGAATATTTCCCACCCCTACAAGTATTAAATTGTACAGTTAGAGGCTACAACTCTTCACATGGCGAAAATCCACAGAATATTCCAAAACTTTCAAAAAATTTCACTATAAAGAAACCCACCTTGAGAGTATTCTGTCAAGTAGTTCACCTCCTTCACATAACCTGTAGTTCAATCACATTTATCAACTTCAGTTGCACCAAAGATCAGTTATAATTTTTAACTAAGCAGTAACCAACTGTCCAATAGCCTTTTTACGAAGAACTTCTCCAATCGCTTTAAATGTTAAATGAATGAATTTGGACAAAACCAATTAGGTATTATGCAATACAAAAGAAAGATGTTAATAGTTCTCACTGCAATTTCCATAAAACATAAATTCACCTGAATAATTAACAATAGAGCACATATGAATCAAGATATGGTCTTAGATAGGTAGTGTAGGATCTTACTCCATCACTATGTAGACATTGTCGTGGTCTTCAAATGCATCATAGAAATTCACTAGATTGTTATGGCCCGATAATGCTCGCAGTATTTTCACCTCTCTTCTCACATCTTCAATGGCAATAGCTGTTGTCATCTGGCAATGCAGAATTAATCGTCATGAAATACTATTTCTCTTCTTTTAGCATCAAAGAGATATGGGGAGGGTTAGGTTCATGAAAAATATATACTACACAGAGAAAAACCAGAAGAAAGAATTGCAGACAAGGTACAGACTTTGTTTTTTTTTTTAATGATAATTTCTAGTAAATTTCAAGTCCAAGAAAATGATAAGCTAAAGCTCTTTTCTGAATTTCAAAACAATAGTTGTCTCTTAATGGTAATGGTTTCATCACCATAAACCCCTCATCCTTGGTTATGTGAATGTAATTGCCTACAACACCTACAACTTTTCTCCAACTTTAGAGACAAAATAATGAGCTTAAAAGTTCTATAATTACTTGTTCTCTTAGTAAATATTGTGAGAAAACCATGCATGAACCTATAACAAAATCCCCATCATCAGTCACCTCTGGTTGGAAATATTTGAAATAGGAAGTTGAAAACAAGAAAGACATATACCACAACCAATCTGTAGACTTCTTTTTGTTAGAAAGATAAAAATGTCCTTTCTGTTTTCATAAATTTCTTCCATTGAATACTTAGGCTATTGCAGGACAAAATCAAGACAGATGAGAAATCTGAGGATATCATACTGCTAAGTTTTATTAACCTTCCTTTTTCTAAGAAGTCTCAATGACCCACATTAATAGGGAAACCAGTCATCTGCTCATCTAACTTAAACTACACTAGACAGAGATTGTTCATCAGCCTTCTAAAAGTGCCCATAGTTGGTTGAGAATAACAAATGCTGATTTGCTTTACAAAAGGTATAGGTTCTTATGTTGCACAGAACTGTTGACATATGTCATTTACCCGACCCCAATTCATCATATTGTCTCACTTCACCATCAGATTGGTTATAACTTGTGGTAGAGAAAACATTAGTAAATTTTTGGATCCTCGTTCCATGTAAATTAAGTGGAAATTTCATGCTGCCTTCTAACATGTCAAGATGCATCTTATCTGTTTGGTGTAAATATGAGAGACCTGCAATGTTAAGGAGCAGAAGGAACAGTAGGCTCTATGGAAAGAGAACATAAGACTCTAATCTGGAAATAATCATTGCAGCCTTTCCCATTATTACGAGCTATGGTTGCATTCATCAAAGGTAAGAGTATGGCTCACCAGAAAACATCCCTCAAAAACTGCTTTCTTTCATAAGTTCGCTCAAGTCAAGTGTTAAGAAAAGACACTTCACAGAAAGATGCTGAAGGTTAAAACCATATCCAAGTCATTAGTGACCCTTAAGTGTGTTCACATATTACATTGGACAATGCGAGAGGAAATCTTTTTACATGAAATTGGACTCTCAGATGGGGAAATTAATTTCACAATCAATAATCTTTGCCTCCAGTCCTCGTTCTGCAAAAGGATTAGAAAACACCTATTTCCAATACTTAATAGTTTGAATCCTCTTGCTCACCTTCAATTTGTCATCAAATCAAAGTAAAGCAACCACCTGAACCCCATTATATTGAAATTCATTCAGACTTCAGAGGATGAAATTAACCCTATATCAACAACATTCCCCCTCCTTTTGGGAAAAGCTTCAATCCCAGCATAGCTGAAATTAAAAATCATAAGCCTCATCAAGCATACTGCCGCAGATAGTTACATTTCAGCCAACCACTACTTTGGCCCATCCCCTTTGGCTGTAAGCATAATTGTACCCCTTATTTGACTTGTTCAGCAAATTATCTACTCCAAGTGGAGGCCCATGTTAAGACCCTACTTGAGAATATGACTTGTCAACAAAGTCCATTCTCAACCCTTGGACATCTGCTTCTTGATCCTCAGCATTTGCCAAAAATCTTGGCGATGGACAAACTGATTATATGGCTTAAGTCCTTGAAAATTTCAAGATCAGCTCTGTTCTTGTTCCTTATATTTATTTCCATCAGCTGCCAAGCACATAAATTGAAGATGCAAGATTGCACTTTTCAATCCAGTAAGTGATTTAGACCTATGTTATCCCGATAAGGTGTTTAAGGTATAAAAGCAGCCATACAATAGAGAGGTGGTGGACCTACACATCAATTCCCACCATTTGACCAAGAATTAAAAAAAAGGTATTAAAGAAAAAGGAGTTTTGCACTTTAGGTATCTTGTACTTATTAAACTCACAATAAAGAATCCGATTAAATTGTTAACTCTTAAACTTTTTCAAATAAATAGATTTTAAAATGTTGAATTACCAAACACTATCATCATTTCCATAAAGAATAGGAGCCCTCGTAATCCTTTCAAACTAATCTCCCCAGCGCACCTTGATTGAAACAGACAAATACAAATATGGAATTCATCATTTATTTTCTTTTGGTTCATAAAAAATGATATTTCTAAGAAGAAACCACAACTACACAAAGAACCAAAAAGCATCCCATCAAAGAGAAAACAAAAGCAGCCCAAGAAATCCCCCAACTTTTTGCACATTTTAAGGCATGTATCATGGAATGGGAAACAGAAAACAGAATGAAAGATTTAAAAGTAACAAGAAACTTCGAATAAAAATGAGCGACCTGCAAATCTACTCTACCCAATAACACCATTAAATCAAATACATACAATATATAGATACTGCTACATTTTACTGTTAAGATCATCTACTATTCAACATATGCATGTCAACTAATAGCAAATAAACTCGCATATATACTATGCATATACGTAAGTGTGTGTGTGTGTGTTTAATTCAAGGAAGATGAGCAAGCCAACCTTGGATTTGGGGATGATCTTGACCGCGACCTGCTGGCCTTTGAGCTCACCTTTCTTGAACTTAGCTGAACAAGTATACCCAAAATGTCCTCTACCCACCTCATCTCCCACCTCCAACCTGCTGGTAAACTCCTTCGAGAACCCAAACCTCTTGTCCAACTCCACCCCCTCACCCTCATCCTCCTCCGGGATCGACGACTCGTTCTCCGCCTCCTTCTTCTTCTCCTTCCTCCGCCGAAGCACAGCTCGAATGTGCTTCGCCGGAGAGGGAGGCGGGAAGGGCCTCTTGAAGAACCGCATGGGCGTAGAGTTCACGCTTCTGCTCTCATTTCCGTCCTTATTCCGGCCGTGGGCGGGGCTCGGAGTGTAGAAAGGGAAGAAGGGTGAGGGTTTGGAGATGGGAGTGGCGGCAGGGAGTGGAGATTTGGAAGGATGAGTGGCGCCGTGATCTTCATCTCTCGGGGAGTAAGAGTTAGGTTTGTTGGGGTTTTTAGAGGTGCAGATTCCCATTTTTGGAGAAAGAATAATAGAAGAAGGACTGGATTGGTTGAGGCTATGCCATTGGGGGTTCTTGTGTTGGTGTTAAATGGTAGCTCTCTGGTTATTTTGACCAGACAGGGAGACTGGAAGTTGGAGATGAAGGAGGAGGTGTGGTTGGATTTGTTGGGGAGGAGGCAGGTAAGGGGGTAGTAGGAAAGCGGAAGAGGAGTCTGAGCGAGCCGTACAATCTCAGTGTCCACGTGTCACCGCATGAGAGTTGACCGTCCATTGAATAATTTCCATGGTTATGTACCATATTTTTTCTTTTATTTTTCATATTTAATTTTCATTATACATATTAATATATAAAAATAATTAAATATCTCATAAATCAAATAAATTCATACACCAATATTATTTTTCTAAAATTATAATAAATTATTATAAAATAAAATATACTTTAAAATGGGAGTTCTAACTACATATTTGAATTATCAATTATCTTTAAAATTTTAAATTAATATAAATATCTAATATTAATAACATAGTGTATAACAATATGTATCCGAACAAAGATCAGTCGTCGTTTATCTAATTACTATCATTCATAATGTTATCTACAAAATATATTAATAATACAATTTTGATTCGTGAATAATATTTTAATTATATTTATTTTACGTATCATTAATTAAATAAATATATATTTATATTTCACGTATCTATTAACCTGTATTCGCAAGAAACAATACAAAAAAATATTTTAACTAAAAAAATAAAATTTAAAAATATAAATATTTCCTCCTGCAATTAATAATATTGATTATATTCTCTCAATTATTCGACATATATAATGTCAAAAAAAATTTCGTGCAAGTGCTTAAATCTAATGACACGACTCTTATTTTTTGTTTTATTTATCTAAAATTACATAATATTATATTTTGCAAGTTAGAAATTTTATCAATAATATAAATTTTATTATTTATTATAATATATTATAAATTAAAAATAAATTAATTTATAATTTTCAATTTAGTGATAGAACAAACAAAAATAAAATCATTTTATTTATTGGTTCTAACATAGTACAAGAATTGACCCAATTATTATAATCTTTCATTTTAATTGCCATAAAAGATTATGAATTAATTGAAAATTATATATGTGTGTAAATATATATATATATATGTTTGTACACTACAAGCAATAATTACACGAAGTCATCAAAATTTGTATTAATTGATAAAACCAATAAGAAATTACTTTGAGAAATGTGTTTCGTGTGCCTTCCAATTCAAGCAATTGGACCAACTAAATTATGTGCTTCTAATTTTTAAAAAATGAAATTTAAATTATTTGATTTGACATATTATTAATAAACATTAAAATGGTATATACCCATTTTTTTAATATACATTTTTGTTTGATATTATAGAAAATTGAAGGTGCCAAAAGTGGGAAGACCAAGACTTTAAGTAATGCCAAATAAATGCTCAAAGAAAAAAAAAAGGCTTTTAATTATAGTAAAAAATTATTTATAGATGATAATTCACCTATATATAAATTATGTTTATAAAAATATATTAAATTATTAATTTAATTAATAATATTCCACCCTTATTGTAATTTCTTAATTTTATTACAATTTTATATTTGTTTTAAATGTTAAGTTTTATTTTATTTTTTAATTAAAAAACTAAAAATAATAAATAATTAAAATAATTTTAATTAATTAATTAAATTAATTAATAATTACTAAATCAACAATAATGTTACTCGTATATTTTATTGTTGTTATTTTATTAATTTAAGTAATAAGTTAAAATTATTTTATTGAGTTTTTTATATTAAAAATACAATGAAATTTAGCTTTTAAAAATATTAAAACTAAATGTAAAAAAAAATTATATTGTAATTAATGTAAAATATAAACAATTAATTTAATAAATTATATAGAAAATGAATATCTAATATCATTTATAAATTATGCGATTTACTCGAAAATTCTTTACATGTTAAATTTGTTATAATTACTTAAATTAGATTAATAATCGGATTAGTAAATATAATATTTTATTAATCAAATTATTAGTTTAAAAATATACAATAATAAAATATAAATTAAAAAAATATATTTTATATATAATTTTATATACAATAATAAAATATATAATATGCTTATATTGCACATGATATTGGAGTAATTAAAAAAAAATTAATTAACCATGAAATTAAATTATATGATTTGATACCCAAATCAAAGTTTCAACCCTCTGTTCTGTCCACATGCATTGCAACCTGGTATGAATATATATATATATACACACACACACACACACATCACACACACACACACATATATATATATATGTGTATATGAATTATGTAATTTTTAATAATATTTGATTCTTACCCAATCATGGCTAATGAGTGGGTTTGATTCAATTGATAATTAATTTTGGTATGATAAATTTGATTTAGAAATTAAATATATATAATTAATTAATCTTAAATTTCTTGTCCTATATAATTTATTATTTAATAAATATATTATAAATTAATTATGTCTAATATTTGATTCATTAAATTTTAAATTTAATTTAATATATATTAATGATTAAATACACTTGATTTATAACCATTAAACAATTCAATGTTCTTTGAAAGAAAGCATA